CAGAGAACAAACTGAATGAACATAGTGAACATACATTTGTATATAATCATATTACAGATTTCGTGACATACTTTAGCGATATAGTATTCAATTTTATTTATCAGTGAATCAAATGACATAAAATTGAATGGTAAACGATTTAACACAATCAATATATCCTGATATCAGTAATATGATGAGAATATACTTTATATGTGAAAATTATATTTGAGATAATCACAGCGATTGAAATTTAAATAATTCCAACGTTTCGTCCAGCAAACATGTCTGAACTTCTTCTGGGTAATTAATCAACATCAAAATTGTCAAAGAAATATGTAGCGTTTTAATAATCAGATCAACTCTATACTGTGCTAATACAATCATATTTAGATGTTGACTTAAGTAAATGGGATAATATGAGTCAGTTAAATACAAATCATGTGAAAAGTGCACGACATGACAATAAATGACTAAACTCAATTTTACACATACACACACACACACACACAATTCGTTCAGTCATTTATTGTCACGTCGCGAACTTTTCACATGATTTGCATTTAACTGACTCATATTATCCCATTTACTAAAGTCAACATCTAAATATGATTGGATTAGCACATTATAGATTAGATTTGATTGTTAAACGTTATATATTTCTTTGATGATTTTGATTTCGATTATTACCTAGAAGAAGTTCAGACACGTTTGTTGGACGAAACGTTGGAATTATTATACATTTCAATTACTAAGATTATTTCAAATATACTTAGCACATATAATGACTTTTGTATACTTCGCGCCCAATTTTTGTCAAACTATTCGTTCTAACATGGACGAATATTCGTACAGAATATACTTTGATTATTTAACCATTTATATTTGGAGGTAATCTGTTTAAATAAATAATAATGCTCAATTGAAATAATGATGACAATATAAACATCAGTGCACATAAATAATACCTTCCATTTGTAAAATTTGTAAGATGATGTTTGAATTAAACTTAAGTAACTCTGGATACAGTGATTTTTAAATTTGTAACTCTACTGGAACTGTCTTAGTCGTTATTTGAACGCCACCACTTTGTATGATGGTGCATTAACGCAATAATATGAAATTTCATCGCTTGCGTTGCTCCATCCATTATTGGACAATATCGTTGAATAGTAGAAAGTCAGTATTCAATAAAATATTCCATAACTTAATGTGATGATAAAGAAATTTGTCATATATACGAAGTATTACACTCCCAGCTGATTACGAAACACTAATCCTTGTAGATTGTTCACATATTATGATGATGTCGATTCTCAAGAGGTTTGGAATTCATCGACCAACAACTACTTGATATTTATATGTAACCACTGCAAATACATAGTAAGATAACCTGCAATTATCGACTGTCAAGAGATATTTGCATATATATATATATATATATATATATATATATATAAGTAAAAAGTTAACAGAATGATTAAGGAATTCAACGAACAGAATAGATAACAGGACTAACATTTATTACTATTGTTATCAGTAATCTACAAAAATCTGATTAATATTATTTCTACAATGAACTCTTTATCCAAGTTGTTTATTAAGGCTTCTACGATTATGTTGAATAGATTTAGATTTAATGAAATATCCTGGAAATTTCTTGAAAGAACTTTATAATTCATGTAACGAATAGATGAGGAATCTGAAATTGAATGACTTCAGTCCATTACTACTAATAATAATACATTAGTGTGTTTATTGTTATAGTTGAAAAAATACAAATATTGCATAGGAAATTTAAAAGATATATTAGTCGAATTGATTCATTGGTAACAAAACAAACATGTTCTCTATCGATTTCTAAAGATTTGTATAGTTATTGATAACCTTCTTTGATTATGTATTAGTACCAGTAGTAGTAGTAGTAGTAGTAGTAGTAGTAGTAGTAGTAGTAGTAGTAGTAGTAGTAGTAGTAGTGTATTGAACGAGAACTAAATTGGGGAGACCAATTGATTGTTTGTTGCGCAACCATATATTAGTTTAATAAAATATGAAAATCGTACTATAAGTACATCATTTGCACATCTGCTTTGAATTGTCTCTTAGAAGCTTCATTTTTCCGTAATTGCTGTTGCTATCTTGATTGCTTTCGGATTTCTTCTCTCTTCTTTTCATTTCAATCTCCTGGATCTTCTGCTCTCAGACATTTCACTCTAAACTGGTGTTACATACTATTTATATCCGCAAACATAAGTAGCATACACAATCGTAGTAGTGTAGTGAACGAGAACACAGGCGGGGACAACCAATCACATTTGGACACAATGTTACATAATCTCTTAGTAAAATCTGAGAACTATAGAGTAAACACTTCATTTGCAAAATGTCTCAGACTTGATTGTTCCTTAATTTTCACACCAATCACTCTCTGTTCTCGTTCTCTTTTCTTCGATCTTAACTTTCTACCACCAGACATTTCACTTTCGACTGATGATACAAATTACTTATACCTGTTGACATCAGTAGCACACACCACAATAGTAATGTGAATAGTTATAATGAGAGTAATAGTGTATGTTGTATAAATGATATTTACAATAATAGTAGCTTAACTCTTCTGAAAAGTGTTTACTAGTATGAAATCTATGAATAAAATCTCTAACCAATTAGCTTTCAATGATTTAACATTTTTTCATCACCGTTCAGTCTTTCTTTTTAGTTTTCCTATATCTGTAAACGGAAATTTGTACTTTACTGAAATATTCATTCATTAACTTTGAAAGCGATTCTTAAACAGTAAAACAAAATTTGATATATTCAACACTGTGAGACTCCTTAGTAGTACATATCCAAGATCCCGCCTCGCGGGATTCGAACTCAGGACCTTCGGTTTCGCGAGCCGGCATCCAACGATAATAACGTCTAACTTCAGTCAATCCATAAAATTGAGCCACTGTCCACTATTATCCTCAGTGAGTTAATATCTCACAACAGACCGATGCTTCCAAGTTTTCCATAGTGATCTAGCTACAACTGACTCATGAACTCAATTATTAAATTGTTGTAGATCAGCTGACTGATATAATTAATATTTTGTTTGTTCAATCATTAAATTAAATAATATTTAACCTATATCATATTTTATATTTTTATTATCTTAAATGGTATCCACAGTTGTTAGTGTTCACTTAAAATCAAAATTAATTTACATATGATAGTGACTTTTGAGTAGATTCATCATGAATTGAAATTATTAAAATGAATACCATCAGCTGATCATAAATGACCTTCAGGGAACATTGAAGGTCATTGGTTTCTGTAATATGAAAATCTATGTTATTGTTTATTATTTTAGTATACAAATCAAGAATCTATTAGATAGATGATATTCAGTTGGAGAATTTATAATAATTCCGAATAAACTTTGTATTCCTAAATTATCGGTATAACCATATTCATTATCTCATTTATTGGTAAGACTATAGGGTTTAGTTAAATATTTCTTCACTACCTTTTGGATTAAACTTTCAAATCAAAAGTTCAAGATGTGACCCCGCTAAGAAGATCACCCGCTTCGGTCTGAACATCCGGACAGTATTACAGCCTTCATACAAATCAATCATAATTGTTACTGGCCTTATTGCTATTGTGTTGCACATATTTATTTGGTGCTCTCTCATCTTGTACTAATGTTTATATATTCAAATAAATAAATAGTTAAAGTGATCTACAAATGACCCTTCATTTTAACTCAAATCTTGAGTCTTATTTAACTAATAATAATATTATCAGAAGGCGTATTGTGGAGATTTTAGTAATTTCAATAGTTGAAATCATGAGTCAATGGAAGCTGGATCACCATGAAAAACCTGGAAGTACTGGACGACTGTTTCTTCCTGATATTGGACTCCTCAGCAGTGCGTATCCACGATCCCACACCCCTCGAGATTCGAACCTAAAACTTATTAGTCTCGAGCACGAACGTTTAACTACTAGACCATTGAGCTGGCCGGCATTCAACGGTGTTAATGTCTAACTTCAACCAATCCACGACATTGCGTCACTGTCACCGTTGTCTTCAGTGATCTGATATCTATTTATTTATTGTATATTCATTTGATTATCAACTTAGTTTTAGACTCTGTTATTAATTCTTTTATATTCTATAAACAAAGTTATTATTTCATATTATTTATTTAATTGAAAACTTTTGAATATTAGAGCATCCATCTACTTTATACTGAATTTTAAACTAATTACATTATTTAGAAACAATGTTTGTTTTAAACTAACATCATTTGTGATTTTATACAGATACATATCATTAGCACTAGACAGGATCGGATTCAAGACTTTCAATCTTTACTATGAACATATTAACTTGAAACCACTAAGCAAGAATGAAACAGTTCAATTTTTTTCTTTTGACTATCATTTTGTGATTTATTAAGATCTGGAATAAGTACCATCAATCATGAATAATATCTACATTTAATACTAGAAATCTTATCATAGTAAGAGGTCTTCAACATTTAATGTGTTATACTCTGTACCTTTGACCATTTTTCCGTTTAGTCATTTGCTAATTTCTATGTACCGAAGTACACTTTTTATTAGAGATTTATATTCCGAATACAAACCTTTTCCAGATTTCTCTTTCTGATCCGATATGTCAAGCTATGTTACTCCGATACATTCATGATAGATAGTTCTAAATAACTTTGGACCTTTAAAATGACCACTTGATAAAAATTGCACGCTCCAATATCCAGTACTTATTTACTAAATGAATGTGAAAGTTGCTGAAATTAGTGTATTCAACACATTCACTGAACATTGAAAACGTTGAATGTAACCTCAGCCTAAATAAACTACATTTCACTCTCTTATTATTTTCAATTGAAATCAATTTTTAATAAAATGTCATTTGAATACTGTTTATCTAATCTTTAGATTGTTTAAAAGTCATTTTATATTTCTATTATTATGTAGAACGTATCAAACTATTGGCTTACGCCGATATGAATGTGTCCGAGGAGGATAAAAAACACTGGGGTATGGATAAATTAACCGGTGGTAGAAGTCGATTACGAGGATGTTTTGGAGATCGAAGAATGATATTATTCATTGTTTTTATTGCATTATTTTTAGATAATATGTTGTTAACAGTAGTCAGTAAGTTTTATCAAAAGAATGCTTTTTCTTTCTTGAGATTGATATGTTTGAAGACTGAAGGACATTGACAAAAAATCCATAATCTAGGTCTCTTTCTAGTAGTCACTTGTCAGTAATATGCATCTGAAATCTTTTGTGAACTGATCCTCAATTAATTTCATCAAGATTATAGATACACCTGACAGATTGCCAACCATAACGAAACCTAGGTTTACAGTTTCTTATCGACTATCTTCAACTACCTACCACTAATACATACAAGAGACAATGTTTAGTCACTTAAACTAATTGCCACATTGCAAAATGATCCATAAAATTCGATCATCACTAATGAACTAAGTAAACATAACAATGATCATTATTCAGTAATTAGTAATCCATAAATATCTATGTATACTTTGCATAGTACTTAATACGTCTCTATAGAAATTTAACTGGATAATGTTCAGATAGATAGAAGCTGTTTACTACTGATTAATTCATGATCATGTTTACGCAGATTTTGTTCGATTTATTATCAGATAAGTAATCTAACCATACTGTCTTAACTATATTTTTTTAATTTTCAAACATTGAATTCACATTATCACCCTGTTGGTCATTGATCGTTCTGTCTCAAATATACTTTCATATGATTAGATAATCAGCTTAGCTAAGAATCTTTTTTGTTATGGTTCGGTCACTTCAATTATTTTATCAATTCAGTTGAATCTTCATAGTCAATAGAAAATTCTTTGAATCTCTAATTCTATGGTTTATGAAAATTGGTTGAGAAAGAATCATTTAATTCTGATCTAAATTAAATGTTCATTGTTTAAATAAGATAAGAAACAATGTCCAGTAAAATATATTCAGATTCTGTATACACAAATCAATGTGCAAACAATTTACCAACTATCTAATGATACTTTCTATAAAGGTTTTTTCATTGTCCTCTATCATCAATATAACATAAAATAGCTACAATTTATATTAGAATCTAACAAAATTTTGAAATCAGGCTTTCAAAGCAGAAAGATAGAACTTTAGAGGTTGATCTTAGTTTCAAACGAAGGTACATTTTATGATATTGCATGCTATGACGGATAGTTTCTTATGATTTCATAGTTCATAGCTTAAACATACCCTAAACAATCATCGAAAACCAAGAAGCACTAGACAGATGTTCCATTCCAGTATGGAATTACAATAGTTTTAATCCACAATTCTGAAGGGGATTAAACTCAGGATATTGAGGTTAACAGTTAAGTTCTTAATTTTTAGGCCACTGAACTGGCATCCAATGATCTACATTTTTGACTTTAATCATTTAAGGATGTTGCTGGACGACCAACACAGTAGTCTAATAGGGCAGTGCTTACCACTGGATTTGAATGACCTGCATTAAATCTCTTATCATTATTTGACACACATTGATGAAAAGTTTAGTAATTATTAATTTTTAAATGTCTCAGTTGATGTCAGTTCGTGCAAAAATTAAATCCTAAGTTGACCGTCTTACTTGAATTGAGTGGTATATATGAGTAGATTCCATTTTTAACTACATATAAACATTATACATTTTGATTTATTATACTTTTAACAAAATCTGTCTGTTTACTAATCACTTGTTGTGAACATAGTTGGTATTACCAAGATTTTACTTCATCATTTCAAGATAATCTGCACATCAAATAGATTGTTTTTTTCTGAGATAGATGGTTTAAACGTGGATCTTTCAGCGTTCTTTTGTGCAACATTATTATAGTAAACTTCAGTTAGAAATGAGGTCTTCCAATTTTTGCTTGTTCCATCTATCCTGATCTTGATTGGATACTCTTGACGTTTAGCCTTTCGTTGTCTTAATCTTTGATTTGATTGTCTCATCTTTTGACCTAATTCATGATTCCGAATTTGTCCATTATTTTTTAACTGGTTGACAAATTTTATTGATTTCAAATTGGTTTTCATGGCAAGCTTCTAAGACTTTCCCTATCTGTTTACTACTCCCTCTATAAGAAATTTCAACGCATTCTCAGTTGAATGTGTGTTGACACACGAATCGACATAAGCAAAAATACAATATCATATTTGACCGTTAGTTGGCATTCATGTAGACGAAGATGAAGAAGACGTCCACTCTGCCCAAAGTAGTGTTTCTCGCAGTCGGGACAGTCATATGCAGAGAGATTCGTATACCTCATTTCAACGAACCTCCACTGAATTCATCTATATGAAGTAAAAATGTTTCAAACTGTCTCAAACTGTTTTTTCGTAACAATATGTTTTGTAAGTGTGAATTATTTCAATCCCAAGGATTTCGTTTTGTTTTACATTATCAGCTCTTACTTCAAATAAAACATCCACCTTAGTCGCGAAACCTCTGGTTAATCATCGATTTTCGTTTTCAAACTAAGCAACAGTTTAAATATTGATTAATTTAATATCTATACCTCACAATTGATTGATCACTGGGTGGTGATCAATGTCATGCTTGTCTAGTCCTTATTAGTTCAGATCGAATGCTATCGATCATGTTGCAATGTGGCCACCAGTCTAGGTGACTCGACACTGCGGCCACTATGTATTGAGATTTAGATGTTGGTTGGAGGTAGTCAACAGGAAACCCTGGACCCGAGTTTCCTGTTGACTACCTCCAACCACCATCTAAATATCTATACCTCTTAGAAATAATTTTAGTCAATATAGTGGCGTATAGTTTCGTTTAGAGGGATTGAATAACGTGATGTGTGAAATAATTACTTTCATAGTTCTGAATATATTTTTTTATTCTTAATACAGTTCCAATTATACCCGACTTCTTATTATCTCATCAAACAACGAATCTTTCAACATCTATCGATGAAACTTTATTAGGAGATAAATATTGTACAAAATTATTAAATGTCACTGATAAAATTAATCTACAAAAATCAATAATTTGGGCATCAAGAGGACATGCTGTCCAGCATCAACCAATAGGATTGACAGATCAATTGAAAATGATGTTAGACGATAAACGAATTCAGTATTTACTTGCTGATACTAGATTTAATGAATGTATGGTAAATGCAACAATAGAAATTGAAAAAATCACCGCTGAAGAATTGGGGAATGAACATATTCAAGTTGGTATAATGTTTGCATCAAAAGCGATAGTACAAATGATTGCAAATCCTATGATTGGTCCACTAACAAACAGGTGAGATACATCTTAATAATTCTTTTGTAAATTTATGTAAACAGTAGACCCATAAAAAAAGAAAAGAATAGCTTATTTAACCTAGATTCAATGTACGGTTTCTTATACTACATCATTCAAACATTCTATTAATTTCCTTGATCAATCCTGAAATGGACAGTAAGAACTTCCAGTTCCTTTGAAAGCATTACTACAGTTGATGAATATCAGTCGTATGAGTATGACATCTGTCTGAAATAAGGAACAGAAACTGAAAAAAATGAGTTATTTAACCTGACAAAACGTTAAAATGGATTGCATAAAGATTTTTTTTCATACAACAAGATTTGTGATTCCAAGTATTCATATACAATTTGTTGTTTAAACATAAATAATGAAAGTTACACCCAAAAGAATTGAACTAATGTGATAACGTCACAAGGTTATTTCCACGACAAAATATGGAATACATTTGTGAAGGGACTTAAAGAGAACAAAAATAAGGTTTACCATTCCCAAGACTTGATTTTATCGTTACCATCAACTTCGTAAAAGCAACATTTTTTACTTGGTTGAACATAGTTTTTTATTACAAACTGACATCAGATGGATAGACGTTTTGTTCTAGTTTATGACTTTTCAATGGTTGTCATTAATAACTTCAAAACGAGATTATAATTAGAATTTTCATAATAATGTCGTCATAAACAGAATTAGATAAAAAGTGGTTAATAATTTCAATATCGATCAAACCACATTATAACACGATAGTCATTCATTGTTACTGGTGATATAAGTTGTAGTTTTGTTAGGGTTAAACCCTAAAGGTGACATATAATTAGAACCTATCTTACTCTTAACAAAACTAGTCACTAATAAATACATAACCAAGTTTAATTATGGGCATGGGGACCTGTGGAGATTGTAGTATTTTCACAGTTGAAATCCCGAGTCAATCTAAGCTAGACCACCATTGGAAATCTGGAGACACTGAACGGTCGTTCTGTTGGAGTTTGGAATTTTACATTAATGCACACTCACGACCCTACACGTGGGATTTGAACAAAGGATTTTCCTTTTCGTGAACGAACATTTGACCTCTAGACCACTGAGTCGACATCCATCAGTGTTAATGTCGAACTTAAATCAATCGATGATCTTGCGCAACCCTTCATCCATTATATGAGGTTGATAAATTTCTCACAGATGACACAGATTGGACTCCACTGGTCATAGCTTCTTACTAGAACTGCAGATATTACATCATGGAACTATTCACACTTACATTAATCTTTGTAACATGTATAGAAAAGAAAATTAAATTAATACTTGTTTATTTAGGATATTTTTCGCGTTTTGTCTGTTTACACTTCACTCAAAGCTTAAAAATTCATATACCGAACTCAGTGGAGTTTCTGCCAATATTTTTCATGGTATAAATTAAACAGAAGTCATTCAGTTTTATTTTTATAAATTTCAGAATTGGCTATAGTGTTCCAATGTTCACTGGATTTGTGATAATGTTTACATCTACTATCGGTAGGTTTCGATTATTTTAAAGCGCATTTTATTACGTTATACTTTAAAGCCTTTAATGTTGAGTGGTAACCAACGACATATTTGTCTAGTCTTTAGTGATGATCAAGTTCTAACGATGAAGTTGTAATGTGGTCACTAGTTAGAATGCTACAATATAGTATGTATAAATATTAGGTGATTGATAGACATCGGTGAGTTATCCTGCACTTTTTGTGCTAGTTAGGACAATTAACTAATGTGTTTTGTAAAATCGATCAATACTAAGAACTAGACAAACATGAGACTTGGTTACTGGATATTAATCAGTCATATGACCATGGAATAGAGATTTTCAATCATAGAGTCCACCAGTGATGGGTTAACTTCAAGCCAATCTAGATTAATGACCTTCACTCTAACCAATAACGCGAACGGATCCTAACTTCTATTGGATTGCGTAGCTGATTGATCTTTAATGGTGAATCAGGGAATAAAGACAGAAAGCTAATTTACCATTTATTATTAGTGTTATCGTGGCTCAAACGCTTAGTACTATATTAGACAACAACATGATTACAACATACTACAACATAGAAACCAAACTCATCTAAAGTAGAAAACTAAGTAACAGGAACATAATTAATTCACGAACAGTAAGAGATATAATATCAATTGATGACTTAAATTAAAGGTTACAATTAGGGTAATTAAAAAATGTCATTAAATATTTAATGGTTACATAGATAAACTGTCTGTGAGAACTCACCGTAGGATAGTTCTGAAAGTTCCACTCTCACTCAAATATTATCCCATTTCTAACATTTATCCAAAATATATAAGTAAAAATTTATTTTGCTGAAAAGCATCTGTGGCATATACCATAAGATACTCATATAGTTCCAGAAAAAAATAGCCCACTGGCATCAAAAATAAACCCTAGATAGATAACCACTGAATACCAGGAGGTACGAGACAGTAATAAAAATCCTTATATGAGATTCTTCAATGATGTAAATCCACAACTCTACTAGTTAATGAAATCGGGATCTTCAAATCTTATGGAGAGCAGTCAACTTGCACACTACCAAGTTGTTATTCAATGTTTTACATTTCTAACTTGAATTGATATTGCTCTATCGGCTAATAACTGTTTTACAGTCGACATGGCTGAACTCCACTTACCAGTTCGAAATATAAACTATAAAATTCAACAACATTTACATACCTGTTACACTCAGAAAAAGTATATTATTGAAGAACTACAGCTTAGTCTTTTGGTAATTTTTCTCTCTTTATCACTTATTCTCTTATAGTGTTTGCATTTGGTGAAAGCTATACAGTTCTATTCTTTGCCAGAGCTTTACAAGGTGTTGGATCTGCTTGTTCCAGTGTATCAGGTAGCATTCAATGATTAAAGATTGATTTTCGGTAATATCTAAAACATGGATTTTGATAATTTATATGTACATGTCAACTAGGTATTTCTATATCTTATCATGAAATGTTCATATTATTATTATTATTATTACTTTTTTGATTTGAAACAATTTCTGAGTGCAATTTCATTTGATTACTTATTTACGCTTGTTGCTCCTTATGAAGGAGCAGAGGTCGCCCACCAACATTTTCTATTCAACTTTGTCCTGAGCAATCCTTTCCAGTTGTTCTTCATCCTTTTCATGTCTGTTCCCAATTATCGATGTAATGTGCTCTTTAATCTTCCCCTTTTTCGTTCCCCTTATGGACTACAAGTTAGCTTTTGCATCATGGTGCAGTTTGATAATTATCGTAATGTCCTATCCACCTTCAACGTCATTTTCTATTTTCCTCTTCATTTGGAAGCTGTTTTGTTCTCTTCCATAGTAGGCTACTGCTGATGGTATCCGGTCAACGGACATTAAGTTTATTGAGCAGACAATTTTTTATAAATACTTGTATTTCTTCGATAATGGTTGTGTTAGTTCTTCATGTTTCATCTCCGTATACCAGAACTGCCTTGACGTTAGTTAGTATAAGAAATCTTGTTCAACACAATGCTCAAAAATTAACTGCATTCTATCTAGGAAGAAATCGATCTATAGTACCCGTGACCTCCGATCTCGTGCGTGAACCTCTAGACCACTGAGCTGCCCGTCATCCGAAGCTGTCAATTTCTAACTTCAGCCAATCCACGAAATTGCATGACCATCTTTCATTGTCTGAGGTAGATACCCGTCTCTACCTGACATAGAGTAGATCCACTGGTCACGGCTTCTCACTAGAACTCCGAGAATTTCCTCACGAAGCAAGTATTTGCTTGTTTTTTGGTAATACTATGCATCCCTTTGCTTATGAATACATATTGTATATATAGAATTAACACAAATTTTTGTAAAGGGTTATGAAGACTGTTGAGCTCAGATTGATATAATGAATGAATCAATGTGAAACCACCATTGAAAACCTGGAAGCGTCCGCTCGCGAGAGCGAAGGTTCTGGTTTCGAATCTCGCTTGTGGACTCGTGGATGCACACCACTGAAGGGTCCCATACTAGGACGGCCGTCTAGTGCTTCCAGGTTTTTAATGGTGGTTTAACATTGATCCATTCATTCAAGATTAACACAAAATCAGTGAATTTGACATGCAGAATAAGTTGATATTCTTTTATATAAATTAGTAGAATTAATATTTATTATTATTATTACAACAGGAATGGGAATGTTAGCCACTTGTTACACTGACGATAAAGATAGAAGTCATGCCTTCTCTGTTGCACTTAGTGGATTGGCTATTGGTGTATTGGGTAGGTTCACTGATTTATTGGAAAATTATTTATGTTTTTATTCGCCTATAAAAAATATACTGAAATCATGAAGTTAATTATTAGAACGCTTTACATCTCGAAATGAATACAATCGAATATTAGAATCACTGTACTTAACTCAATCAATAAAATTCATTATTTTCAAATGTTAGTTGTTTGGCAGTGGTTAGCTGAAAACAAGGTTTTAATTTAGTTAGCTCCCGTCAATAAAGTGTACATATAATCAACAGAGAATTGATGCTTTCTATATGATTTGGATCCATGTCATTCAACTTCACAACTCAAAACACTACCACTGAGCTACTCTGATCATAACTGACCTAACTTAGGGTTTCCTTCTGACTGATTTCAACGTATTAGTAGAGTGTACATAGTTTCGAATCACTCATATTGGAACGTGATTGGTAAGATTCGGCCAATGGTAAAAAATAGATGGATATTGAATTGGTCATTACTCAGTGAGCAGTCGATTATTACTATTTTCTCCGTGAGACCTTTAAGTTATACGATGTGAGAATATGAATAATCCTAAAATCGAATTAAATAATTACTTATTCACGACTGATGTTTTACAAATATATCAGCTCCTAATAAACTTTGCTTTCTAGTATGAATGACTATTCGCAAAGAGATTTGTGGCCAAAATTATGACGTAAGTTTATCGTATTCCATTTAACAGGATAGTTTCTTATTAAATAACCTTAAGTAGATGAAATACACTGAAGTATAGGTTTTCAAATTTCATAAAATTGGTCGTCCAAACTGACCACCGATGCATCAGCCTACAAATCTTTTGAAGTTTTGTAACGAAGCTATCATTTATAAATATTTCTCGGAATATTGAGTGTACGCCGACCACTACCATCTTGAGATTTGTTGTCATTTATAATTTCAGTTATCATCTCTATTATTTTCACTACCATTAAAGACTTTTGATGGATTAATATATCTAATTTATGATAGAACATTTATCTAAATGAATAATCACAGATTTTAAATCGCAAACTGACCTTAGCCAGACCATCATTAAAAACCCGAAATTACTGGTTGGTCGTTCCGTCCTAGTATAGAACTTCTCAGCAGTGCGCATCTACGACCCTGTTTATGAGGGATGAACTCAGAACGTTCAATCTTGTGAATGAACGCCTAAATTGTAGACCACTGAACAGATATCTAAAGGCATGAATATTTAATCATCTGAATCGTTTAAAGAATAAGAAATTTTAAGGAAAAGCAAAATATGAAGAAATCACAAATAAAAATTATTTTAATTCAAGCTTATTTTCAACACTGAAAATAATGTAATCAACATCACCATAGATCATTCTATATGTAGAAATACAAGAAACAGTTTTAGATGTTTCTTTTTGAGAAGAAATATTTCCTAGTATTTTGTTTTTGATAGAAAAAAATGTTAATCATATGCTTAGTATAGATTAAGATCAATCATTGAGAATTAATGAGTAGTATAATGTAATAATAGTACAGGCCTGTTAACAAGTAATTTGAGTGAAAATAAGGATTACTTCTGACAAACAACTAATTCCTTTATATAATTATCATATGTATATATTGAGATGAGATATGTTAAATAAAAATCAAATTAAGCTTACTTAAACATGTTACCAGTAGTACTGTGTATTTAAATGTTAAAAATAGAAAATATCACATTCATAGTATTGCTGTATCTGTATTGAACGAACACTTGAAGCATAATCATACAGTCAGTCAGTCAGCTGCAACGTAGGATCAGGCACATATATGCATCGGTCCAAGTTGCCATACCTCATTAACACAACAAGATGAACACCGGATTCATAAAAGTAGTTAATTCAGTGGTGGTATTATATAAAAAAAAGATTGCAGTAAGGATATAGTGCAGGAAGAAAGAATTAGTTAGTAGAAAGAAAGATATGAAGTGATTTTAATCTCTTAGTTTAAGGGAAGACAGAGAGTGTATACACCGACGCCATTGTGATCGATTCTGAACCATGTTACCAAGAGTCTCCAATCATTGGTTACGATAGTCACGCGGACCCCAACCAAGTAGTCTGTATCTCTCAACATGGATCAAACCAGAAGTTAGTGACTTCAAGCACTGACGCCACGTTTTGGTTTGGCCTACCCTAACTTTCTTCCAACCATCTCCAACACCGGTTAGCATTGCACGTCGTGGTAATCGGTGTTCAGGCATACGTAATACGTGGCTCAACCATCTCAGTCGATGAAGATTCATAACCTCATCAACTGATTTACCATCGTTCCCTAATACCCTGCGTCTAACCTCATTATTACTTACCCAGTGATCCCATGCAGACACCAGCAATATTTCTAAGGCATCTGTGGTCAAATACTAGTAGCTTACGAGTGTCTTCTACTCTTAAGGGCCATGTTTCGCTGCATCGACTATTCCTCCTACATCGACTTTCACCGATTCCTATTATCCCTCCTATAATCATACAGTGGATTAGCAAAATGTGAAGATTATACATCAAATACATTATTCGTACATCTTCTTTGAATAGTCTCTTACAAGCTTCATTGTTCCTTCATTGATGTTATTTTGATTGCTGTCAACTTTCTTCTCTCTTCTCTTTAGTTCTATCTTTTAAACCTTCTTTTTGCAGACATTGCACTCCCGACTGGTGTACTATACTACTTATAGCTGCAAGCATACACTACGTACCTAGTTTTAAACTAGTTCAGTTTATTTTGCCTGTAAAAACTTTAATTTAAAAATATCATTTTTTGGTGCCTTTTTTATTCGTAAGAGTAGTAGATGAGGTAGATGAGGTCAGTCAAACAGAATTATATCTAGTTCGTATAATTTAATATTTGACTTCCCATTAATACCTTGATAAATGACTAGGAAATGCCCAATGTGATTTGAAACTGAAGCATCTTCATTCATTTTTATCATTGATAAGATGTGAAATGTCGAAATATATATTTCACAATAAGTTACAGTATATGGTTAATTATGCGAATGGTGTCATAATATGTTAGCCGATTCCAAGATCTGTTATGTAATATTTTAAGCTAATAAGGTTTGACTTAAGACTTCAGGAGGACATCTTTATCATTGCATAAGTATAATTCAAACAATAAAACTAACAGTTTGCTGTGACTGTTATCTTCCATTTCTAATAAAACCAAACTCTGTAATGAATTGATATGACTAGAGTTACGTGGTTGAAATACCCTTTACAAATAGTATCATTCACAGTAGATACTTTGACTAGTGATAGATAGACAACCATTAAAAAGTCAGGTAGCACTGAATAGCTATTTTATGTTTGTATGAGACAATTATGAAACTCATCAGCAAAGGGTATGCATAACTACACTCAAGACGGAACTCAAAACCTTCAGTTTCACGTGTAAGCTTTGAATCTCCTAGATCATTAAGTCAATATCCAGTCTTGTACATTTCTAACTCCAATCAACTAGAGAGATCACCTGATCATCTACCATTGCTTATGGTGTATAACTGTCTCACATAACACAGTTGAACTATTCTAGTCACGGGTTTCTCAATGAAGAGGTGACTAAATATAATGTTAAATAAAATATTCCAGAAATTAACAATCATGAACTCTTTATTAATAAATAATATGCTATTGATTTTGTCGTTAATACAATTAGATTTATTCTTCTCATTCATAGTCAAGCATATAATGTGAAAATATTAAAAATAGTTTTGATCGTTCCATTGTTGATATTTTTGACTGAAATTTGATCTAGATACATCCAACTGACGAGTCTCAGGTGGGGCGAAACGTGCGTACTGGATTCTACTGCTAGCCACATTCCATCTACTCTATATTATTATGAAAGTATATTTTAAGAAAAGGGTCAATAATGTGTCGTTTGAATGAAAATTAAAAGCGAAAAAAACAATGTTCACTTTGTATTAGTTTACATTAAGATTGTTCCTCTTTTTATTACAGTAGGACCACCGTTCGGGGCATCACCTATCAGTTCATTAGTAAAGAAGCACCGTTTTTAATTTTGGCAGCGTTAGCCTTAGCTGACGGAAGTAAGTGAAGTTTTGCCGAAATTCCAGTATGGAAACGATTTAATGAAAACTGGGCGAATGATGTTTGTATTTGATGTTTTGGTAAAACTTAAAAGTGAATGACCTTTATGTTATATTACATAAAATGTAAAACTGGAGTTAATTTTTCTAGGGCTCAAAACATTTAAAATTATGATGAAATACTATTTTCTGCTTTCATAGCATAAAAGCTTCCAAAATGCCCTGGTACGGTCGACGGTAAGGGTATTCAGTTCTCCCTCTCGAAATGCTCCCACATTCCCACGCGTATGCAACCACTATTAAGGAATCCTACTCACTGCCTTCTCGTGGCAGAAGTGTTGTTTACGAACTTGAGAGAACGAAGAGCGAATGTCCGGCACTTTAACCGGGTTTGTGGACATGGAGGATCCTTCTAGGGGGATCGGAAAACCCTGATGCCAAAACAATGGTGCACATAGGCTCCACAATCCTGAGTGACCAAATGGCGTATGAACCAATTATTGGTCACCGGCTACCATGAGACCGCATCTCCCGATGTTGCTCCGCTGCCTTTTGGATCAGACCTTCATATCTAAGGCTCTGGATGTGGCCTTCTAAGGAAACCACCTGCTCCGGTCTGGGCACTCGGGTAGTATTACAGCCCACACACAAACCAAGTGATTCGTGTTGGGCATATGTATTTGGTGCCCCTTTGTACCAATATTTATATACTTAAATAAATATATAGTATAAAAATAATAGTGTTAAATGTAATAAATGGTTAGCTTTTACGATGTATATTGTATATAACATACAAACCAAATTTAGCTCTAAATCTTTAAACATAACAAGGAGTAACCGTGGAAACTGTAGAACTAATTAGGTCCTCATAAAGGTTGATGAAGAATCATCTTTTATGACGAGAAAGAGAATTTGATATCTTTTTCATAGAAGATTTAAATCGATCCAATGATTATGTAAGATGGATGCTAGGTTCTTAGCCTTAATGTGAATGTAAACACTTGAATTCATTTATATTCAGCCAATGAGTCCCGAATAATGTGAAACATACCTCCTTGGTTATAGCACTATTGATTATTAGGGAATATAATTAGCTTATCTTTATTATACATTTTATTTATAATGAACCGAATGAGATGATCAGTAGGACTATAATTTATGGACGACTTTTGAGTGATGCTAAACTGACCTTGAGAGTGTCCAGCTAATAGCTAGGACCAAATGAAGGTAATAAACCAGTGTGATGGATTAGAATTATGATTTAAAGTTAATGGTTAGGGTTAGGAATTAGATTTAGGGTTACATCACGAACTGACATCAGCTATAATGCCAAAACGTTATATAGCCAAATCGATGGGTGAATTTCGAGCCAAAATCTGAGACCTATGTTATCGTAAATCTGATTAGTTCGTCCATAATTTATAGTCTCGCCAGATGATCTCCAACGTTCATACTACATCAATACAATTACCTATTTACTTACAAATACTTTTTTAGCTTTACAATTAATTGCACTGAAACCAAAAGTACGTAAAGAAGATCAAAAAGGTGCTGCATTATGTGAACTTTTAAGAGATCCATATATACTGATCGCTTCAGGTAATTTTTTAGAAATATAATTAATAATTTCTCAGTTATTTCTTTGAATTAAATCATCTTAAAGACTTCTTGATTATTTTTCATTATTTGAATTATATATTAAATACTTTACTACTAGCAAACGATCTTGAAAAGTTATGTTTAACTTATTAAATAAAAGTAAACAACTGATCTTATTATTTCGTGATTGATACTACGGACTTTTCACAATCTAACAATCATTACAAACCAGGAAACTGTGGTTAGTTGCTTCGTCCTAGTATGGAATTGTTCAGTAGTTTGAATCGATGAACCCAAACGAAGATCGAAACCAGAACCTCCAGGTTTCGTATCAAGCCCCTAATCTTTAGACCACTGATTACACTTGTAATGCAGCTAATAATTAAATTCGTGTTATTACTGTTAATAGATAAGAATAGAATAAGTTACTGTCAGAGGACTAGGTAATATAAGGAGTACAATTTACCGAATAATTGAGAAATAAATGGTGTTAACAGGAAATTGATAACTGGTTCAGGTTTGTGCAAATACCCATATGTTAGTTCATGTGATGGCAAGTATTATAAAGTATTTCAAATCAGAATACAGGATATACTTCGAATGCAATCTAACATTTAGTGCTACGTGAACATTTTTAAAAGAACATCCATTAATTTGAAAACACTTCTCATTGTGAATTTACTTAAGAAAGTTTTTTTGAAATAGGGCTTATTGTAAAACCGTTCATAGTGCATAAGCCGTCTTGAACAATATCTATAATTCAACCTATATTTACACACTGAGTGACATGTATACTTTTCATGAATATGTCAATATTGTGTCGACATTGAAACAATATACTATTTAGAACCATTTTATGATGATAATGTTTGTATATTCTGCGTGAAGAACATGATCTCTTATGACCTCTTAACAAAAATATCAACGACAGACTCCACTTCCTGAGTATTTAGTAAAAAAAATCAACATTTGATAGTGTTCAAATAAATTTTCAACGGATGAAACATTTTTGGCTTTCTTCCTAGAAATATAGGAATAAATAATCTATTTCAATTTGATCAAGACAAACTTGTGCTATAAGCAAAGATGGATAGTGGCTAGTAGTGGAATCCAGGACGAGCGTCTCGTCCTGTTTGGAACTCGTCATCTGGATGTACCTGCATCTCAAAGTTGATGTCCACTCTGGGACTCAAACTCAGTACCGTTCGCTTCAAACGCCATCGCGTTATCCACTTAGCTACTGAGTTCTGATAGCCACTTGCTTGTGCAATGGAGTGAAGTTTATTTCACTTGGTATCGTTTTACTTGAATCTTCACATTGCCAGCCACTATCCATCTTTGCTTATAATGCTTGTAAATTAAGGCAATATCAAGGCATACGCACAGTATGCACATATGCCAATAAGAGACTGATCAATTTCAGTCCTAAAACATCAATGGGAAGATTCAAGTAAAACAATACCAAGTGAATTAAACTTGTGCTATGTTAAAATCTATTTAAGCTACCACTTTCGTTACACATTTTTCTGTATAGTTAAATTCAAGTAAATAAAACGTATTGAAGTTTATCGCAAATTAAAGCCTAACAACTAATCACCAGGTAATAATTTTGAATATTTAACATCATTTAAATTTAAATTCAGTTAGTATTATTTGCTTGTATCTTCCCATTGTTGTTAAGGACTGCAATTGATCAGTCTCTTATTGGCATGTGTGAATCGTGTGCGGATTACCTCATTATTACCTTAAGTCACAAGCTTTATAAACAATGATAGATAATGGTTAGCAGTAAAATCCAGGACTCACGTGTCGTCCTATTTGAGACGCATAGATGTAGATACATTCATCTGATAAGTCCGAAATAGGACGAAACGCTCATCCCGATTTCCACTGCTAGCCATTATCCATCTTTGATTATTTAAATTTGTCAATAACAACATGAAATCATTAGGTAGATGACATTTATATTATTTACTAAATGTACAATAAAATCAAAAACTTAACAAACGAAGAAAAGATACTCTTTTGAAGTTGTTTGTATGATTATTTTTGAAGTTTCGGCGGGACTCTAATTTATGGACGAACCTTGAACGAACCTTAAGTGACCTTGACAATTATTAGACAATCAGAAGACAGTTAGTATAAAGTAAAAATATATTACAAGAAACTAATGAATTACAGTGGATATTCTTCTTCTATGTGATTTAAAAACTTGTTAAGGTTTTATAAAGGTTAAGTTGTTCTGAAATCATAATGCATAAGATATAGGAACTCGTCTATATGGCTCCATAATAGTCGTCCTCTGGAGCCGTGGTACGGTCTTAAAAATTCCTTCAATCTCAATGTTGTTAGTATGAACGCCGGTAGTAGAGTCTAAAAAATGGCGTTTATGCACTACGACATGATGGACATACCCAAGTATATGAAGGCATCTATACGCTCTCCAATCATCTGTATCTACCGTAGTGCTCGGCTGCACGTATTCCTTTATAATTGGTATTACTGTGTTTGCTTCACGGTTTCTCACCTTCTGGAGATGCCCCTTTTGCGTTGAGAGATCATAAATTCCAAGTGCCTGTCAAGTATATTTACGGAAGTGCTACTTACCCAATCTTCCTTGATACTACGTCCCCTGTTGTATTTTCGCTTTCTCACTACTGTTTCATCTATTTCCACAATACTTCCGACTCCTCCGAATGATACGTGTAGACGTGTCATTTTAAGTGCACATATACCACCAAGAAAGTCCCCGTTCGAGCAGTCTTTTTTCTCCAACATAAAGAACAACGAAGAACAATCTCATCACGATAGTCTGCACACTGTACTGCAGTCATTTGATAACCGCAGTCACAGGTACAGGAACTTCTTAGTAGTCTCATATCTTTTAGCCGCTCAATAATCACCTCTTCTCTAAAATCCGCTGTAAATCGATCGTATGTGAGCATCAGGTATTGAACTTGGCTCCGTGACCTTGAAATTCCTCAAACGCTTCTGATTGGCTAATGGTTGTTAAACATTAAATGCAACCTAAGTAGTTGATGAATAACATAAGTCTTTCTAGGAGCCAATCAGTTAGTTTTTCAATAAACTATACAGTCGATAGTAATTATTTGTTTTTTTTCTTCAAATTACCAATTACATGTCTTAAACAAAAATTATTTTCTTTTTGGTATAATTCAATCCTTGCTTTTCTTCTTAATTATTAGGTTCAATAACTTTTGGTAATATGGGCATTGCTTTACTTGAATCATCTTTACCATTATGGATGTGGAAAACAATGAAATCAGAAGGATGGCAACAAGGTGTTGCCTTTTTACCATGTAGTATTGCTTATTTTATTGGAACAAATATATTTGGACCAATTGCTCATAAAATTGGTCGAGGTATAAGTGCTGGTCTTGGTATGATTATATGTGGAATATGTTTACTTTCTGTAAGTCAACTGATTTTTAATTTATGATATAATATTCATTTATTTGCTAATACACAATGATACTCAATTATTGACATTAGTTAGACATCATATGTTGATGTATTTTCCCACCTACGTGTATTTGGGAAAATCGTAATGAAGAAAAAAGTGATAAAAAGAAAACACATACTGATCATAGTAACTCTAACAAAACAAATTGATCACGAAAGTTTACAGAAATTAGAAATATGGCCCTTTTTTACTCAATCTATATGTAACGCTACTTCTAAACTATCAGTATACCATCTGGTAGTGTTGTGAAATGAACTCCCGAAGAGGTTATTATCAAGAAAAAACAAGTGATACTTGATATTCAAGGATTCCTTAGCTGATGTCATTTCGTAACGTAACTTATTGATCAGCTCATATATAGTCATTGTATTTTCAGATCAAAAAAGTTATAGAAACTCTCCTAACCCTAGGATTAAATCTTTCCAGAGAATATGATCCAGTTAATTGAATGATTTCTTAATCAATTTACATTAGACTTCAGAAATGAAAATGCTAATGCTATTTACACTATAAGTTGTAAACACAACCCTTGTTATTAGATCATAGAAGTTCAAGCCTAGTGCATAGTGTTCTGGAGGCAAAATAACATTAATCTAGTTTCAAATAGTTCGATAGTTGTTATGCCCAAAGCCGCCAATCAGAAGCAGCGAATTATCGATCGGACCAAGGACGCGTAGAACACGTGCGAGCAGCCTAAAGTCCTGATTGGTCCTGCTTTCCGCCTAGCCCAGCTAGTTAAGTCCAGAACACCAATTCGAACCTCTTCAATATGAATCCTTATATTTCAAGCACACTGAGTTTATATACCAATCAAACAGACCACAACGTAGCATAAAATAGAAAATAACATTTGTACAAAATTTGGCCAAATGTGGCTGTGAATGTGTAAAGCAGTGACTAATAGACAGGGCATAATTCAAAAATGATAAAACGTATATAATGGTTCATAGGTCGAAATAAAGTTTATAATATGAGGAATATGAATATGAATAGTTCAGTTATTTAACAATTATACGATAAAAATATACGTTTAGTATTGGTCCATAAAAGGATCCCGAAGTTACCATTCATTATGTTTATTGGGACCTAACAGTAGTGTACTAAATTTACTATTAAATAAGAATCACAGTAGGTAGATATTCAGAAAGTAAGTTTCTATGAATTACGTAATCAAATATTTGCAGATTATAAATTATTTGACTATTGATTACTAATGGTCAAATCAAGTGAATTCCCTCGACAACGAAAAAACACTGAATTTTATGATATTTAATTCATTTGAAGTACAAATCTCATTTTATTTCTTACCATGTGATTAATGTAGATTCCATTTTGTACAAGAATTGAACATTTAATTGCTCCCATGGGCGGACTTGGATTCGCTATAGGTATGTAAAGTACAAATGATAGTTTATTTCAATACTTTATTTATTAGTACCACAGTGTTAATGTTCCAAAATGAAGAATAATGATAAATTGTAAATTCAGCAAAAAATCAACCACCTGGATGAATTTGAGCCAATAAACTAGATTATGGTTGATAGCTATTAGAGATTTTAGTGTGAGTTTCAAAACTCGATGGCAGATAGCTTTCAACTTGACCAGATCTATGCTAAATCTCAGCAAAATCTGTTATTATTTCGTCATCAAAAGGCTAAAAACTAAGGATGAATTAGAACTATTCTTGGAATGAAGAATGGAAAATTGTTTTTTAGAGAATAATAAAAATGATTTGTAGCCTGAATGTTATTGAAGTGGCACAATAAATTATGCAAGGTATAAACAGATTGAACATAGTGTTTCGTATTTAATTGAGAATTCATTCACCTTTATAATAAGATTGATTTGCAACCAAATTAGGTTGCTTTAACCCATGTTTTGAAGTTGAAATTAGTTCGTGATGAAAACTCTGTTATTAAATCCTGACCCTAAAATTTAATTGTAAGCTTCAATCCTAATTCTTAACCGAACTCCCACATCTCAACATTTTCCCCCACCTTGATTGGAAGAAACAACTCAAATGAAAAGCTTTATTGTTCACGTCAAAACTCCTTAATCTTTGTAATTTTATCACTCTCCTCTGCTTGCTTAATCGCACACTACCTACTGATTAGCTAGTATATCTCCTAGGGTCATTTGAAACTTACAAGTTCGTCCATCTAGTTTACTCCTGGTAAAAATTCCAGTTATTTCATGTCATTACTTTTAGTCGGATTACTAAGGTTGATCTAAATTCATTGTAAACTATCTATTCAGTTGTTATGTGAGAAAATTTTAATTATCATATCCATTTAGTTTGAGTAGTGATCGCTAATGACAGCTTTGATTCAGGATAAATGACATTCTTTATCTATTTTATTAGAACGTTAGTATTAATGTAAAATTTAGCATGACAGCTAAGTAGAAATTACTAGATGAAGCAGTGAACCTCAGTTTAATAAACCAATGAACAGTATAACAAATAGTTAAAAGCTTATTATTATTATTATTATTATTATTATTATTGTTAATGGCTTTATTCAATATTGTGTTTTTGGTACAATATGGAATTATCAGCACAAAGTATTTCAACAAGTTTCCTTTTCTTATTTCTTGATCGATCCTTACGATAAATATTGAGCGGTCGCCTGTTAGATGTTAACAGTTCAGGAATAGACATCTGATTAATGTATATTCTTTTCGATGCATATTGCCACCAACCACAATATCTCTGATTGAGCTCTTTTGTAACTTGTGCAGTGAAATGTCGTAAACTTTTCACAAACGCACCTGAATAGGTTATGAGACCAATAGGCATAATTATATGTTAAAATAAATAACAAAACAGATAACTTGTTTAAATATCCAGATAGCAGGAACAGCTAGCCCAGATATTTAAGCTGGCCGCCTTGGTAAAGTCATTCAACGTGAAATAGAGCAATCACAAGTTTAAACAACAAACATAATTCATATATATGAACAATATACATAATTAACAGTTCATTTGTAGGTTAATCTTCCCGAGTTCAATTACTTTTCCCATGAGATGTTATTTATTCCCTACAGTTTTATAGTTTAGGGTTTAGCATTACGGTTCATACTATTGCTTATTAATTCCACTAATAGATTCATAATCTCATCCCATATCTGGGAATTTAAATTGGCTTATTCAGTAGTTTATAAATGTTTAATAAACGCTTCTAGGCTTAAAGACAAAACGAAATATATGTTTTCTATTGACATTTATTGTTGGGCTGATCTGACAAATTTCCTGAAAAAGACAAGCAAGCATCAGGAAACACTAAGAAGCGTTTCATCCAATCAGCGTTCACTTGAAGTTTTAGCCAAAAATATCAAAGAAGCGAGACGTCACATGCAGAGGTTCTGAATGTCTGATTGCTACACTGATACTATGTTTAGTAGCATTCCAGAATCTTCGAGCAACTTAAGGACATCTAAAAATATTATAAAAACCCTGTATTTTCTGCATTGAAATGAACCTTGGAGTAAACTACTTCTCGCATACTTTGCGTCTTCTCTCTCATGTTCAGGTTGCTGTATAGTTCTAGCTTGGGGGTTACAGAATAGCTTAGGAGACGAATATAGAGTCCAATCCGCAAGACTTATCACTTATATCCAAAAATATCACTCAGTAAACATAATTAAAATCAGTAGTCTATATTTCATGTATGTTGTATTTTAATATCCCTATCTTTTTCTAAAAAAACAAGAATAACCTATGAAGATTCTCAAACATTAGTAAAAAGAAATTCTAGAACGTAAATGGATATCACCTAAGAAACTATCCGAAATTAGTTTAAGATTATATATCAATGGTTAAACATAACAGGAATGTTTCAAGTTAGACTTAATATTAGGTCATGTAGAGATTCTTATAATATAAAGATGACTTTATAACAAGCAAAGATGGGTTATGGCTAGCAGTGGAATCCAGGACGTGCGTCTCGTCAGATGGGTGTACCTGCATCCGGGGCTCAAACCTAGTACCGTTTACTTCAAACGCCATCCCGTAATCCACCTATCTCCTGATTCCTGTGCGGATCGCCTCGATACTGCCTAAAGTCATAAGCATTATAAGCAAAAATGGATGCACATATGCTAATAAGTGACTGATCTATTGCAGTCTTAAACAATGATGGAATGATTCAAACAAACTTTACAAAATGAATTTGACTTCTTCTCTTGTTGATATTAGTTTATCGCTAGATGTATAATGTGTAGAATAGAAATCCAATAAAGCACTTCAGACAATTAAAATAATCCAGTGTGTCATTGAATAAGAATAAAGGAAATTCAGTGAAGAAAATTATTTCTTTAAGACGAAATTATTTACTTAAGTTGTACATTCGTTTTTATATTCATATGGAAAATATGTGTATATAGAAGGATAGAAAAGATTACGTACATCATACATTGATTCGAGACTCATTATCAGGCGATGTTAAGCAATAATCAATTAGACAATTATCTTCCATGATCCAGACTTATATTCTTCTCTTATTTCTTGATTACTGAGTAACCTTATCTGATAATAAGAGTCTCAAATCAATTTATGATGCACTCGTTTCTATTCTACTACAGACATCTGTTTTCCATATAATTATAAATACGAATGTAAAGCTTAAGTAAATGATTTCGTTGGAAAAGAAAAAATTTCCCCGCTGAATTCTCTTTATATCTAAAGTAAACACTTGAAAGACTTTAAGTTTTAGGTAATCATGAAACTACAATGATAAACGAATGACTTATTAGACTAGGAATTACAATCAGTATATAAATTTTAGGATTCCTGTATTATAGTTGGTATCAGTTCGTGTTAGAAGCCTCAAACTTAACTCTTAATCCTTATTCTTCACTCTATTTTAATATTTTCGCAATTTTCTCAATGCTTATGCTGGATACTTTAAGCGTATCATCGATTCTTTCCTCTAAAACACTGATTATACTGTTGTGATTCTTTTTTTCATATATTTCAGGAATGGTTGATTCTTCCATGATGCCTATCATGGGTTATCTCGTCGATTTAAGGCATGCATCAGTATACGGTAGTGTTTATGCTATCGCAGATGTTGCATTCTGTTTGGGATTTGCAATTGGTAAGTATAGTAAGATAAAACGATTACAATATATTTGTCTGGTCTATTAAAGTACAGTTTAAATAATGATAAGCTTGAAGCAACCACGACGAGTTTCCAGCTAGTTTCTGGCTAGTCATAAAACAGCTTTTATAAACTAGTAGTATGAACTAGTGAAATGAATAATAATATTGAAGACTTTTAATGCATATAAGATGATTAATAAGTCTACAGGTTACTCTGCTAGTAAATAAACAAAACATATAAACTCATCTTAATGGTCATAGACTGACCATCTTCTCGAAGCCTTATAAGGATTCAAACAGATCGTTTAGAGTTCTTAAATCGTTCCTCGTTAGAGTTCCGAATTTAGGGTAAAGATCAGGGACTTACAGCTAGGGATTTTTATCACAAACTGACATCAACCATGATGTAAAAGTACTCTGCAGTCATACGAATGAATGAATTTCAGTAAAAAAATATAGTAGGCGCTATGTAGTCACTGTGTATATGGACCAAATGTTTATCATTACGATTTAAGGATAGCGTCCATTTGGTTGTTATATAAAATCTAAGAAGATAGATTGAGTTATTTAATGCATTTGACACAATCACTTTTACTCTATGGTAGTAAAGAATAATTTTACGCTATCACTTTAAGTATTTTGAATACTGCTTGTCAGACATGATATTTGAAGTTCCTGTAAAAACCTAAAGCTTGAATTCTGGATTACCCTAATAACTAGTCACCCAAGGTCTAAGGTTATCGACACAAAATGTTAGTGATAAGCATCTTCTATCTTCCATCTATTTGTGTTACATTTTACAACATTTTTCTAAACAAAATTTAAAAGTATGTAACTCAGCTAAAAACGACTATTTTAGTCATGTCTTGTTTATCAAGAACAAACCAAAATGATGTTAAGAGATGTGAAAAACTGTAAATCAGGTATCGAAATTCACGTTCTCTAACTTTCAATCCTAATCCTCCACATTTTCACTAAATGTACATTTAATATTTGAATTCATAAGTCAATTAAAGTTAAACCATCATGAAAAACCTAATATGATACTCCTCAACAGTGTGCATCCACGATCCCGCTCGTGGGATTCGAACCCAAAATCCTACGGTCTCGTGAGCGGAGGCTTAACCTGTAAACCACTGGATTGATATCCAATGGTGTTAATGTCTACATTGATCATTGATCAAATAACTATTTTTCTTTGAAATTTCTAGTTACATGAATTGTGAATTATCTTTACTATTGTTAAAAAAGTCTTTAAGATTTAATTAATTTTTTTTACTTTTATCAATCGACTTCTTTCAGGATATTTTATATAAAAAGATCTGAATTCAGTTAAATGTTAAAAACTGAGAACTGAATAGATATTATGTTACAGTAGTCTTAATGTAGTGTCGGTTTCTATGTTAAGCCCATATAATTTATTCTAGCTTCTGGATAGGTCAATCTATCCATTCTACTTGAGTCACATTTTGACCTTGTTAATTAACACCATTGGATGCCGGCTCAGTGGTTTGATGGTTAAGTGCTCGCGCGCGAGGCCAGTAGGTTCTGGGTTCGAATACCGCGGGGGGCGGGTTCGTGGTTGCGCACTGCTGAGGAGTCCCATACTAGAACGAAACGGCCGTCCAGTGCTTCCAGGTTTTCCATGGTGGTCTAGCTTCAACTGACTCATGATTTCAACCTGTGAATTTTACTAAAATCTCCACAAAACTCATTCTGATAATTATTTATTTATCAACCCTGACTGTTTTAATATGGGCGTATGTGTGTGTACATCTTATCCTACTCATTACACATCTGTGGTTGATTTTTATATAACGAAATATATTGATTAACGCTTGATTAAATGTAGTTGGCTCACACGCCTTCTCTAATCTGCTTCTCTCTTCCCTTTTTGTTTAGTCATTTTCGATTGCTTGTTCAAATCTATATACATATTCCAAATCCATCCTCGTATTTGACTTATTTTAATTCCGTTATTCACTAACGCGGATAAAGTTGATAATTACATATGAGGATAGCCGATATAAGTATTTCAATAACTTTAGTACGATTCAATTGGAGTGAGATCCTGAGTCGCTAAAGTGATGAACGCGTCGATAACATCGTCCGATCTAATTGACATAAAAAATAAAGGACCCCACTATACTAACATTAATTGTAGATTATGTCATTATGTAATATCTTAGGTTCAAACAGACAAGAAAAAATATAATGCTTAAAGAAATAATATAACGTTGACCCTTTATTTCTAAGTGAAGATCGCTGTTAAAATTGATCCAAGTCTTTGAAACAGGAATTTTTATTCATTGAACTAACTAAATATATCAGAAGAGGTTTTGTGGAGATTTTAGAAATTTCACTGGTTGAAATCATGAGTCAATTGAAGCTAGACCACCATGGAAAACCTGGAAGCACTGGATGGTGCAAGACTGATGGGTCCTGGGTTTGAATCTCGCGAGGGGCGGGGTCGCAGATGCGCACTGCTGAGAAGTCCCATACTAAGACGAAACGGCCGCCCAGTGCTACCAGATTTTCAATGGTGGTTTAGCTTCAGTTGATTCATGATTTCAACCAGTAACTAAATATATGTTTTGTTTTTGAAATTTCTTAGGACCTATCATTAGTGGTGCAATGGTCAAAAGTATTGGGTTTAAATGGTAAGACAAAATTATTATATTATATTTGTATTAATACAATTTGAATTATATACGTATATATTCCAATGTTTAAATAGCATTTATTCATCACAAATCAGTAGAATTAACTTAATAAATGGATTGTTTCGAGGTATCTAAAATCAGAATAACTGAAGAGAAAGCTAAACTTTGGTTGTTGAAATAATCAATCTACTATAATATTACTACTCTTTCATGTTGTGGTTTTACAATTAGTTGTAATGTAATGTGTGCTACCGATGCCGACAGATATAAGTAGTATGTATCACCAATTGAAAGTGGAATAGCTAGCGACAGAAGATTGAGAAAACCGAAGAGAAAAGAACGGGAACATAGGGTGATCGATATGAAAACAAAGGAATAACAAAGTCTGAGACAATTGATAGATAATTTACAGATAAAGTATTTACTATACGGTTCCCAGATTTTATCAAGACATTATGTAATGTTATATTAAAGTACATTTGGTTGTTCCCACTTGTGTTCTCGTTTACAATAGTAATATTTGTACTTAAAAAAAACCCAAAAGAATGTGTAGATCTAAAGCAGTTATTACAGTTATTTGTTAATTTGATCCGTCATGGAATTATTTAAAAATAGTGTTCATGATTTTGCTGTTTAACCTAAGGAAGTGATACACTTTTCTTCAAATTTACAACTGATGAAGTAGTTGTCGTTATTATGAGTGAACAATTGTGAAACACAAGTGTCAGATATAATAATTGTTAAAAGGTAGCAATTCTAAGGTGTTTTTGTAAAATGATGTTTTTCGAGTACAGTGGCTCGATTGAGAATCTTTCATTGTTGTTCTGAACAAAATCACTATTGTCTACTATAAACAGAAATTAATTTTTTTTCGACAAGGCCGAAATCCGTTTGTTCAGGGGACTTTTAGTGTCAGTTATTATGCCAAGCCCATATACCTTATTCTAGCCTCCGGACATCCCATTTTATTCATTCTACTTGAGCCATACTTTGACCTTGTTATTTATTCGCTTATCAATCTAGACTGTTTTTATATGAGCGTATATGTGTGTGCCCTTCTTATCCTATTATTCACACGTCTGTAGCTTAATTTTGTCTGACTACAAATATTGAGTAACGCTTGACTAAAATGGAGTTGGCTTCCCAGCCATCTTCCATACGTGTCATTTTGCTTTGCTATGTTTCATTCGCTTCATGTACGAAATATATATGTATTTTCAAGTCAATTCTCGTTATTCGACTTATTTAATTCCGTTTTTGGATAACGCGATTTACGTCGACGATGATATACAAGAGTAGGCGATAACAAACATTCGTACGATCTTGGAGTCAGATCCTCGGGCCACCAACGACTATATTAGTAACCGATTGACTGAAGAGGATTAAAAGACACAGCTCAGTGACGATACCCTAAAGCATAATAAGTTACAGGAAGACCATCAGAAGGGGATGATTCAGCGTTTTTGAAATAATTCTCTACATATAGTAAACCCTGTATAATGGTTATGATCTAGCCTGAAGGCGTATTCTATGCTATAAATGTAAGGCAGAGTGCGTAAAGAAAACTAGAAAATAGAACAAGCAAAAAGTGAACTGACTACTCAGGGAGTACACTTGATAAGATTATCCACAAATATAATGAGAGCTCTATAGCTAAGTTACTTAGCTTAAAAAAATAAAAACACCATCAAAATAATTCACTTGAGCCATAAATCTTCCAATGACTTTATCCTTGTTATAAATCTACGCTTCGTAAAGTGTTCAAATGTTTCAAACAAACTAGAACCTAAATATCTAGTTTTTTCTATGCCTTAAAACTTAATTTCATATCAATCTGTTTTTCTCTTCATAATATTAGGATGCTTTGGTTCATTGCCATTGTTTCCCTCCTTTACTCTCCATTGACATTATATTTGAGGAATCCACCAAAACGAGATGAAACTCAGGTGAGTACATCTGTATTACATTAAAAATAATATCATTATCCTATATAAAGACTTATACATAAGCTAAAAGTTGAAGTATCTTGTTAAACAAATATACATCTCAACTATTCAGTCATCAAATGAAATCACAGTCTTTCATAACATAATCTTTGAAAATCTAAACTGAATTAAGTAAAATTAGTAAGGATTTCCAATTTATTATTTTGATATTTAGGACTGTAACCAATCATTTTCTGTTATCAGTATGTATATCCTCAGTGACTTACATCGATCTAGTTATCAGTGACATTCGGAATATGCATTTTGTCATATTTATAAATCGTTAGCTGGATATACCTCTATCATAGTGTCATTGTCCGCACTCAGATTTGAATGTAGTACCTAAGTTTTATTTATGTAGACACTCAAAGTTTACTTACAAATTATAGAAATGTAACCAATTAGAAATTAGTATAAATATATTATAACATAGTGTAGTATAAATTCACTTGTATCTTCCCATCGTTATTTAGGACTGCAATTGATCAGTCTCTTATTGGTATATGTGCATCCTGTGCGGCTTACCTAGAAATAGCCTTAAGTCAAAGATCGATAGGGGCTAGCTGTGAAATCCAGAACGCGCGTCACTTCATCCTATTTGGGACTCGTCAGCTGAATGTACCTGCATTCCAGGCTGATCAATTGGAATCCTAAATAACAGTGGGAAGATACAAGTGAAACAACACCAAGTGAATTTAAACCTCACCTCATTACACAAGTGGCTGGCTATCAGGACTCAGTAGCTAAGTGGATAACGCAATGGCGTTTGAAGCGAACGGTACTGGGTTTGCGTCCCGGAGTGAACATCAGCTCTAATATGCAGGTTAATCTAGCTGACGAGTCCAAATAGGACGAGACGCGCGTCCTGGATTCCACTGCTAGCCACTATCCATATTTACTTAAATAGTGTAATATAGATTAAAATTAGGTTATTGATGATGATAATAATCTATTCATTTAAAATCTGAGAGGCCATTCTTCAAGTTTTCAAAAATTGATACTTATTATAAGCAGAGATGGCTAGCAGTGGAATCCAGGACGCGCTCTTCGTCCTATTTGAGACTCATCATCTGGATGCACCTGTATCCCTGAGTGGATGTTGGCTTAGTAGTAGCTTAGTAGATAATACGTTGAATATTCAAAGCGATAAGTATTTCATTCAAGGTTCAGTGTGAACATTAACAATAGATCTTAATTACATCAAGCTGACGAGCCATGAATAGAACGAAACACATGCCTTAAATGTCATCTCTGGTAACAATCTTAATTTCAAGTTTTTAACATTTTACTTCAAATATTCATTATACAGATAAAACACAATATTTTGAAAAAAGCATCCGTGCACGAGACCGAAGATCCTGTGTTTGAATCCCGCAAGCGGGATCTTGAATGAGCACTGCCGAGTCCCACAATACGACGAAACGGCCATCTAATGCTTCCAATTTTTCAATGGTGATCTAATATAAATCGATTCATGATCTTAATTAAAAAATATATTAAATCTTTTAAATATCATTTTACAATGATATTTTAATGGAATTAGAATAATCAGGTTTGTACAGAAATAACCCCTGGGATTATGGAAATCATGTTAAAATACAGGAAAGAAACAAACATAGGAAGAAATGGATAACTCTATACAATAACAATGTAAAATACATGAACTGAATGAAAAAAATATTCATTTCCATAAAATTTTATTAGGGTCTTTAGTAATATGTCTAAAATTAATGTTTAAAAGGCAGGTATTCAAGTTTAAGGTGAATAACTCATTTGAATCGTTCGAATAAATCATTTGAGACTGATAGGTCCTGGGTTCGAGTCTCTCGGGGTGCGGGATCGTGGATGCGCACCGCTGAGGAGTCCCGTATCAGGACGAAACGGCTGTCAAGTGCTTTCAGGTTTTCCAAGGTGGTCTGGCTTCAATTGACTCATGATCTCAACTGTTGAAAATACTACAATCTCCACGAAACCCATTCTTTAGTAATATGTCTAAAATTAATGTTTAGAAGGCAGGTAGTCAAGTTTAAGGTGAATAAATCTTTTAAAAAGTATTGTATTTAAACTTAGGATCATTAGTAAAAGTAGAATAAAATTGTTAGTGTTGAAATAAGTAGCATTATTTATTGTTAAATTGTATTAGGATGTAGGTCAATTAAAATAATGAGATTAGTAATTCGGATAAATATAGATAATATAAAATGAGAGATCCGATGTAGCTGTAAATTAGACTGAATGCTTGATAAATTTGTAAGTGACTAGCAATGGAAATCATTAGTTGCGTTCTGTTTTATTTGGGGCCAATAAGCTGCATGTACCTGTATCACGGTGTTCATGTACACACTGGGGATCGAACTCAAGGACTATCGAACATAATTCTTTTGTATACAAACATCCAGTCTTTCAATTTGTTCAGCTATTGTTTCTGTCGTTTGGATGAGTCTCAAAACGACAGACTGCTACAGGAAATTGCTAATACGATAGATTACTGTGAATGATTGAGTTACACTGGCTGTACTCTTCGTCTAAGCTAAATGGTATAAAATCGAAGTGCTGATTATTTCAAACATGCTTTTATGTAGTCAGCCCGGAAGGAGTTCGCGAACATACTTCATTTCAATTGACGGGTTACATTATTAACAGACTTAGATTGTAAACAGTATAGCAACATAAATTTTCCACCTAAAGAACTCATATTTCACATATTACTATCAATTGTTTTAATCCCACAAGATTTGAAAAAGATTTGAAATGTTCTCAGGTTTCCCCTTGCTCCTGAAGACCTTATCTAGGAATTCTCGGAGAGGGTCGATCGCATGTGTATGACACGAATTTTAGGGTTTGATGTCAAACATGTTACTCCTTTTTATCTATATTTATCTCATAATATAACTCAGGCGTAACAAATACAACGTCATTTCATTTAAGCTTGTCATTTAATTACCATATTAAACAAAAGGCCATTTATAAATACTTACCACTGTTTGTCTACGGCCTGAAATTAGAAATTCTGTTTAATAGTGTCAAGAAGTCTCTCAAATTAAACATGGTTCATGCAACAGCCCAATCTATACCCCTTTCTATGAATAACACCAAAAAGGATAAAATCACTCGAACTTGTTTTTTAAGCATCTCACCACCTTTGTTGTTTGATATTAGGTGGAATAGTTAACCAATAACTGATCTTAGATAGGCCAAAATTTAAGATCAGGAGAAATTGGACATCTTTCTAGTCTTTGTAAATGATTATTTAGCAGTGCTTATTCACAACTCTACCACAAGAATTCGAACCCACAACCTTCAGTTTCGCGCTCGGACCCCTGACATCTGAAACACACAGCCGGGATTCCACAGTGTACATGTTTGACTTCACTGGATTCTCTCTAGTGAGGAGATGATTACTACTAGTATACAAGGGTTTGTGGATATTGTAGAATAGTTACATCGCGGATCGACTCAAGTTACAAGTGTTCGTCACTGTATGTCGTCTTTGTAGTTTAGGAGTTGAACAACCTCTTTTGAGACCGAAATCCCTGAGATCAATCCCCAATGACACTGTCTTGAGTACACACAAACTAGAATCAAATAGCTATTCAGTGATTCCTGGTTTTCAATTGTGTTTAAGCTAAAATCAGTTAGTAGTTCAAACCATGAACATTCTACAACGTCCATAAACCCCTTTACATCAATATTAAGCGTTATGGAAATTTGATTAACATGAATTAATTTGAAATTTTATTTCAGTCACTTGTTACAGCAAAAAATGGAAACCAACAAAAAGAACTAAATTCTTTTGAAAAGGATCCTAAGACAACGATAACTGGAATTCCAACAATATGTTTGGGCTCTACAATCGATTATGATCCTACACATGGAGGACTTCAAGAATATCGATATGAATAAAGAAGAAAAAGGTAATTCATTATCATGAACTACTAGAGATATTTTATTGTAACTGATGAATTAAAACGGATACAAGTTTTCTTAATACACTTTTGGGTTGTATAAATTAATAGCCAGATACCATTTTATGAGTTTGAATTATGGAAACATAGGATAGTCTTCTTATATATTTGTAATCAACCTTAGTCAAAATGTTTCATAAATGATTCGTTTGAGACATTCTAAGCCACTTGAAATTTCATCAGCTAATTAAGACCAATCAAATATGCAATAAATTGAGTGAATTATTTATAAACCAGTTGAGATAGGTTACTAAGATTTAGTGAACTTTTCCATTAACCTTGTAGTACATTGTTGTATTGTTTAGTAGAACTAGTCTGACTAAATTCTTACGAAATCGAATACACACCCTTTTTCTAACGTGTCACTTGAGAAATAATTTTACGAAGTTTGTTCTGAACAAAGAGAACAATATCCTTTTGTCATTAAGAAGTTGTGCAGACTGTTGAATTTCGTTGACATCACTAACCTATCTAAGTTAGTCAACCAACAAAAATCTGGAAGCACCGGATGGTCGTTTAGTCCCAGGATAAGATTTCACAGCAGTGTGCATTCAGCAACCCACAAATGGAAATCTAACCCAGGGTTTTCCGAGTCACAAGCTAACGCTTAACCCCTAAAACACTGAGTCGGCATCCAACGTTGTTAATGTCTAACTTCCATCAATCTACAACATTACGCGATCATCTCTAATCGCTTTCGTTGGGTAACTGCATCATACCCGACACCGATTAATTCAATTGACCTAAGTTGGTGGATACGCACTGTTGTGAAGTCTCATTCTGAGACGAAACCGCATTCCAGTGCTTCCAACTTTTTATTTGTTACCTAATTTAGATCGTTTCGTGATTTCAATGGGTTTCCTTTATTTGGGTTTATCTTGTCCGATTAACTAATTCTGAAAAACAACCTTAGTTTAACATTAATTACACTCAATATCTAGTTGTATACCTCGTTATTTATTAATGCCATCTGTTGTGTCAAATGTGTAAATTCCTTGTTCAACACTGTTGATATTCAGGGTGTTATGTGATGAAATTTGTAAGTTGTTACAATATAGTGGCTTGAGGTATTCAACAGGAAACCCTGCACCTAGGTTTCTTGCTACTTGGCACTCGTCAGCAAGGTGTGCCTGAAATCCTGAGGGAATCGATGCTCCTTGATGACCCCGTGCTACACAGCTTTACAGTCAGAGACGTTACCACTGAGCCATCCAAAGCATGACTGACCTCCTGTAGGACTGAGATGTATTTACAATTGGTTGATCACTGGGTGGTGATCAATGTCATGTATGTCAGGTTCTTCTTAGTGCAGATCGAATCCTATCGACCAAGTTGCAACGTGGTCACTAGTCTAGGTGATTTGACATTGAGTGCACTATGTTGAGATAAGATGGTGGTTAGAGGTAGTTGTTAGAAATGTTCAATGCTTCAATCAGTTAACCACTAGAACGCGTAAAAACATAGTGTCATTTATGAAAGCTAGTTTTAAACTGACAGTGAAAACAGTTATGCTTTTTCAATCCTACACCCTGTAGTTGATACCAGATTAATAGACTAAACTTAAAGGAATATTATACACGTGTCTTAAACGGTCAGTATTCAACCAACAAATGAGAATCATATATGCACCAGATAGTAATTGCGCAACAAAAACAGTCGAAACAGATCATTCACAGTAGATCTAGAGCTGGCTATAAAATATTTCTTTATATTCCTGTAGCCAGACATCTCTATCTTCATTCACTAACCAATCAATGTTCATCATTACTTAACACATCACAAACTTTACGTTGTTATTTACCAGTTGAATATTTTCTACCAGTACACGCAATTAATGTGAAAACGATTCTTAATATATTCATAATGCTTCAAAGCATCTCATCAAATTTAAACAGCATAAATTTCCGAATAGTTCTGTTATTGTAAACAAAGTATTACATAACTTAGTCGATTGAGTTTAAGTCAAAACAAGAACAGGAAACATTATATTTAATACAATACGTTGGAAGTGAAATCATATAAATAAGGGAGTGACGCAATAAATAATCACAATCATAATAATAAGACAAAATGAAGGAAACAACATTTTTTGACAAATAAATGTTGATTATTAGAATGAGGGTTTGTGGAGACTGTAATGATTTTAATGGTCGAATTCATGAGTTGACGTAAGCTAGCCCACCATCGAAAATCTCAGAAAATGAAAGAATGGTTGCATAAGATCCCGGACCGATTGAATTTAGACATTAACACCTTTGGATACTGACTCAGTGTTCTAGAGATTAAACATTCGCGAACGAAATCGATTATCTCAGGTTCAAGTCCTACGACGTCATAGACGAGAACCGCCGAGGAGTCCCATCTTAGGATGAAAAGGCCGTCCAGTGCTTCCAAGTTTTCAACGGTGGTCTAACTTACATCGACTCGTGAATTCAACCATTAAAATAGATGATAATCAAATCAATTAATTGTTATAAATCGATGTAAAATTAATAATATTGTCTAGAAAGACAGTAAAATAAATTAGTCGAAACATTCATTGAACTGAGATAAATGAACTAAGCTCATCTATGCAATGGCTGGTCATTAAATTCATTTAACGTCTGTATACGGGACAGTTTATTCAAACAAGTTATCTAATCCCAAAACCTTTCTTCATGATACATTCCCTATTAGGTTAATAGTTGATATGACGGCAGAATAAATATTTGCCACAATGGCCTACTGTAATAATAATAACAGTAATAATAATAATAATAATAATAATAATCTGTTCACGTTGTTATGCTACTACTAAACTGGATGCTCAATCAATACGCTATACTTAGACCTGAATCATATTACACCAGATACACGATTCATGATTAATTATGGAGAGCTAGATTATAGACCAAACAATAGATTGTTTTACATAAACAGTAGCAGTACACAAATAGTGGGTCCAGAGTATTAATGAGTAACAGAAAGGAGTTCATATGTTAAATAATAAACTGAATGTTTAATTGCTTTCATTCAGTAGTCACTGAACGAACATCAATAAATTTGTATCACTCTTTGTGGATCTTTATCACTTATGTGATATCGTTAGGATGCATACAAGACAGCGATAACTCTAATGACAACCACAATTTCATATACAACAGCTTCATTAACTTCCAGCCACAGCTACTCCAAATGACATGTTTAGTTAAAGACGAGTTATTGGAAGGAACTAAAGAAGATTATGATTTACATATAATTAATTGATTATAAAATACTTTCGGCTAAGTAATTATCACTAAATACAAAATCATAGTAAAATAATCAGCTTGGGAGAATTGTATTGAGGATCAGATAATTACCTACAACTGAAAACACTCTGACAGTTAAGGATAGGACAGAAGTGAATATTTATTAATCAATACACAGGAGATGTAATATCTTATTGGTAAATTGATAAATACAAAAAAATTTGATCCGTGTGAAGAACCACCGGAACATCTAGGTTTGTAATCATCAATCTATAAAACTAATCAAGAACTCTCGAAGGCGACATACAATGTTGTTTTTATACTTATTTACGTCCAAGAGTTCGTGAGAAATCTTCGAAATTTCTGAGAAATTGTTTTCAGTAACATGAAAGTTGTTTGTTTTTTCTAGGGGTTTGCTCACCTTTATTCAACTTCTCTTCCCTCTTGTTTTTATATTGTCTAATGATGGGGTAACACAAATCAACTCTTTACAATAAATAAAATGTCAAACATGATTTTTAACACTTGTTGAATTATCAGAAGGGGTTTTGTGGAGATCTTAGAAATTTCACTCGTTGAAATCATGAGTCAATTGAAGTTAGACCACCATGGAAAACCTGGAAGCACTGGACGGCCGTTTAGTCATAGTATGGGACTCCTCAGCAGTGCGCATCCGCGATCTCGCACCCCGCGAGGTTCGAACCCAGAACTTGTTAAATTAATTGTATTTTCAACAACCAGTTGATTGAAATACTTTAGGTTTACTAATATTTCTATCTCTCAAGGTCATATTGGTCATTACGCATAGATAGTTGTCCCATTTTGATTTTGTCTTTATGAATATTAAGTATATTTTTTTCTGTACTGTTATCTTATTTTTGGGTTCCATCGTTTAAAAATTATTGCTGAAGAATTGTATGTGTGTGTGCTTGTTATTTGCCTCCTTACTAAATTCACAATAGATCGTATTCATATTAGAAGTATCTCTATCTTTCATAATATAATAACATTATAGAGCAAAGGATACTTTAGACAAGAGGAAAACCAGAAATCAAATCCTGTTTATCTATTACTCCTTGAATAACCTGAACAAAATATAAAATATAGATCCAATTATCCACTCAGTATGATAATGAGAAAAATATGGGAAATGATTGAAAAATAATGTAAAAAAAAGATCAGTATTGTCATTTCTAGTTAAACCTTTAAGAGTAATGACGAATTTTAAATTTCTGAAATAATGTCTAAAAGTTAAACATTCGCACGCGAGACCGATAGATCCTGGATTCGAATCCCGTGAGCGGGATTGTGGATGTGCATTGCTGAGAAGTCCCATACTAGGACAAAACGGCCATCCAATGCTTCCAGGTTTTTCATGGTGGTCATGAATTCAACTATTAAATCATTATAATATCCACAAAAACCCCTTTTTGATAAACAAAAATTATATCTTTATTATTATTTTTTTTTAGATGTTCCTATAAACAAAGAAATTATGTTGTCTTTCATTCTATAGAAACAAAAAAAGAAATCAATATTATAACCAATTCCAATAACACAATAAACTGTCATTAAATATTTGTCTATATCCATACAATACTCTGCCCGTCCCCCACACCTCCGCGTTATAAATGTATATCTTTGTATCCTGCTGATTTTAATTAAACACATTTGATCTATACAAAATACCATAGAATTCATTATCAAC